ACACCCCTGTTTTATATGTTCAGTGTATCATCTTTTTTCCATGCCTGGAAACAGTAGAGACCTGTGATGGCGAACCTATGGCATGCATGCCATAGGTGGTGTGTGGAGCCATATCTGTGGGTACATGAGTGTTGCCCTAGTTCAGCTCCAGCATGCATTTGCATGCTGGCCAGCTGATTTTTGGGCCTTCTGGGGTGGGTGGGTCAGGAAACAGGCTATTTTTGGCCTCGGGGGATGGGGAAGGCCGTTTTCGCCCTCCCCAGGCTCCTAGAAAGCCTCTGGAGCCTGGGGGGGGTGAAAAACAGGCCTTCCTGTTCCACCGGAAGTCAGGAAATGGGCTGTTTTTGCCCTCCCCAGGCTCCAAGAAAGCCTCTGGAGCCTGGGGAGGGCGAAAAATGGGCCTACCAGGCCCACGGTGCCATCACGTGCCAAAAGCAGGGGGAGCGCAGGGGGGGTTTACGCATGTGTGCACGGGGGGCGGGGTACATTGAATTATGGGTGTGGGCATGTGCGCGCATGACCCCCACACATTCCCCCTGCTTTTGGCACACGACAACAAAAAGGTTAGCCATCACTGGTATAGACTGTCATTTTAAAATTCACTTTCAACTCAAATCTCAGTCTTGTGAAATAGACATTTTTCATATTCCATAACATGTTTTAGACTCAGTCTATCTATTGAGGCAGACACTATAAAATTAACTTCTGAGACCATTGTTGAAAAATATCCTTCAAAGTATCCAATGTTAAACTATTTTGCTACATTGTATAATTATAAATCAAATTTGAGTGTTCTTCACCTTAAAGTGTAATCTTCAGTTCCTTCTAGTTCCCTCCAATGTCCAATTTTTAAAGTATTCTCTTACTAGTTATTTTTTTTAAATAAAAACAAAAACATTTTCCCATTGAAAGGATTTTTTAAAAATAATTAATTCCAAAATTTTTATTTCAAATTTAGCTGGACCCTTAGTCAATTTCTAATTTTCTAAAATTGAAGTTTTAATCAACCTTTTGTTGTGGCTTTTAAAAAAAAAAACAGTTCTTAAACTTTTGGTTAAAACTTATTTCACTAAGGATTATAGGAAATTCACTCAGTTCTGTAAAACTTGTTGATCCAAAGATTCCTACTAGCTGAAAACCACTTAACAAGCAGTTTCTGAAGGTTTTGGAAGTTCTGCCTGAAAGAACACAACATTTGCTTACTTCTTTTCTAATTAGAAAATTAATTTTCTAATTCTAAATAGAAAAGAAGTAAGTGTAAGTAAGTTGACCAAGATAGCTGTTCCATTGTGTCCCAGAGTACTAAATCCTTGTGGTCTGCAGGTTTTCCTAATGAAGAGCAACTGTCTGGATCACTTATTGGTGATTTCAATATCTGTCCTTGACTGGAGATAAATTATTGAAGACCCAGTCTACTTGTCAACTCTTCATTCCATCAAACTCCAAGACAGCTTTTTTTTTAATTCTGTGGAGCTGTCTTTAATTCTGTGAAGTTCTGTGTTCAGTTCTGCCACCTTTACTGAGACAAGGTAGAACCTAATAGCAGATCTAATTTATGTTCAGTTGGGTTCATTTTCTGTTGATCTCCAGAAGCTCTCTAGATATCTCATAGCTCATTTCAGCTCCCTCTACTCCACAATAAACCAGGGAAACCCTTGGGGTCCACAAGGAAAGAGAGGCTAGATGATAGAGACAGGTAAGAAATGATTTCTTATAAGTGCATGTACTTTTCTGCCCACATCTACAAAGGGTGGTCCGGCAGCCCTGTTTCAAGAGATTCAAGTTATGGTGAATGCATCTTTGAGAGAAGGGATGGACCCACTGAAGAAAGTAGTGATCTGCTCCAGGGGTGGGCTTCAAAATTTTTAGCAAGGGGTTCTCTGCCTGATTGCTGGGTAGGCATGGCTATGGTGGGCAGAGCCTAGTCAGCTTCCTGCACCATGGCGGCTGGGGGGGGAGGCATTTTTGCCCTCCCCGGGCTCCGGAGGCTTTCCTCAAGCCTCTGGGAGGGTGAAAATGGCCTCCCCAGGCTCTGGAGGCCCTCTGGAGACCAGAAACGGGCCCACTTCCGGCCTTCTCAAACTTCTGGTAGACCTGTTTTTCACAGGTCTCCGAGCCTCTGCATGCACCCTGCACTTACCTGCATCCAAAATGGGCCACGTGGGGACTCCTCGGTGGGGAGGGGCAGGGTGGGAGGGGCCAGCCAGGATGGGATTTGGGGGTTCTCTGAACTGCACAGAATCTTAGCTTAGAGGCTCTCCCGAACCCCCTGTGAACCCCCAGCAGCCCAACCCTGATCTGCTCCTTAAGACAGCAGTACTAGATGCCCAATTGGGGACAATTTTTAGTAAAGGTTGTAGAGAAGGAGATCATGTTGCAGTGTCACATAACTCGGGAGGAAGTGAATTATCTGTACTTGTTTTAGTTGCATTTCATGTCTAGGCATGGAACCAAAACAGTACTGCTCGTGCTTGTGGATGATCTCTGGTTGGAGTGGGATGGGAGCTGTGTATATATCTTGGATCCTTTTGATTGCTCAGCAGCTTTCAGTACCATGCATCATGATATCCTTCTGGACTGGCTTTGGGATTAGGAATTTGAGGCACAGATTTATGCTAATTTTCCTCCTTCCTCTGGGATCAGTTCCAGTCAGCACTGACAGTGGGGAGAGAGATTAAACCCATATCACCAGTTCTGTAGGGTTCCTCAAACCTTGAGGCTCATCCCACTCTTATTTAGCAACTATAAGAACTGTTGGGTAAAGTTAATAAACAGCACAGAGAGTCATCACTGTGCTGGATTGAATGTGTGTTTTGATGAGTGAGTTATTGCTTATTCTTGGGTGCAGTCACCTGTGTAAGATGGGCAGCAATATAAATCATATCAGTAAATTAATAAATGACACCCAGTTATATATTTCTGCTATGGGCCAGCCAAATGACATGATAAGCATGATCTGTGTGTCTGAAGGCTGTGTCTGAAGGCTATGGGGCTTTCCATGATGAAGAACAGGCTTCGGTTTAACCCAAACATGATTGAGGGTTTCAGGGCTCATTGACTCAATGATTTTTCATCCCTAGTTCTGGATGGCATCGCTGCAGAAAGAACTGGTAAACAGTTTTTTTGTTTGGGGGGGAGGTTTCCTCCTGGATTCATGGCCCTTATTCAAAGAACAGGTGACAGCCATGGGCAGGAGGACTGTTGTTCAACTTGGTGTGGTGTATTCTTTCCTCAATCAGATGGTAGCACATATTGTGTCTCATACTTTGGTTAACTCCCAAGGGGATTACTGCAGTGTAATCTGGAAGCTACGAGTGGTCCAGAATGTGGTATTATGAACAATTAAGGATGTGGCTCCATACACCCATGTTCCCAATAAGTTTCTGAATGTTGCCTAAGAGGCGGGTTGACACTTTTATGCATGTATATAGTCTAGAACAGTGATGGCTAACCTTTTTGCCATTGCGTGCCAGGAGCGGGGTGGGGGTGGGGGTGGTTCCCACCGGAAGTTGGCAAACGGGCTGTTTTGGGCCTCTGGAGGGCCTCCGGGGGGTGGGGAAGGCCGTTTTCACCCTCCCCAGACTCCTAGAAAGGCTCTGGAGGCTGGGAAGAGAGAAAAACGGGCCTTCCCACCACCCCCCGAGGTCCTCAGGAGGCAGGAAACAGCCTGCTTCCCTACTTCTGGTGGACCCAGAAGGCCTGAAAATCAGCTGGTGGAGCTGAGCTCACGTGCCCACCGATATGGCTACGCGTGCCACCTGTGGCATGCGTGCCATAGGTTCACCATCACGGGTCTAGAATATTTGCAGTCTCTCTCTCATTACCTGCTCCATCAGATCTGGCAGAAGGTACATGCGCCAGGTCCTGTCAATTAAAGCATGTCAGTTGTCAGACTCAGGAAACATGGCTTTCCTGTATCAGAAAACAAATTTCTTTTGAGATTAGATTAATCCCATACCAGTTGGCCTTTTATAAAGCTTCTAAGTACTTGATTTTTTTCCTTAGAGATGGGAGGTGATTGAATCTGAAAAGTGAATGAATTTGTTACTTACAAATTAACTGACAAACTTAGTTTATCCTTCTTTCGTTTTCTTATGCATTTTTCTATTGCAATTTTTATTTCATTGATGTTTTAATTGTGTTAGAGACCCAGAACTGCTTTATGTGAGAGGACCAGTTATATAAATTTAATAAATGTCAATATGCTTATAATGTGTGTGTATCATTTGACATTTATTTTTATTATTAGACTGAGTTGTTTTATTCAGGACATATATTATGATAACTATGGTATAATATAATATATACATTAAATGTATATCTGAAATATTTATGTTTTTCTGTATATAAAAAAACAACACGTAATGTTGATTATTTAGAGACAGTTTGAACTTCCAAAAATACACACACACATATACACATTTCTGAAACTCGACATTTCACCTGAATTAAAATCCCATTACCTGTTAATAAGCTTTATCCTTAACCTCGTGTTAACTTTGAGACAAAAAGATGTATCTCTCACACTTCAGATGAAAGTTTAATACTCTGCCTGAAAGATCTTTCAGAAAGGATTCAGAGATCCTTTCAGCTGTGATCTACATTTGATGGGTGCTAGGAGACATATCCTCTCTGCCATGGCGTCTGCTTTATGGAACATTCCCTCCCTCCCTCCCTCCCCTCCTCCCAAATTAGATTAGCTCTGTCTCTAAGACATGCTTAGATGGCTCCATTGCTGAGCTGGCTATTTTTATTCCCTAGGGTTGGTATGTCTGTATTTAGTAATATTTACTGTTTAGGTGGTTTATTATTTGTTTTATATCTATGGGGGTTTTATATGTTGTTTTATTTGTGGTTTGTTGTACGCTGCTCAGAGTTGCCTTCGATGAAATGGGTGACTGTCTAAACTTGATTAACAAATGAATAAAGACTTCACGGCAAGATAAGTGATGCAATTAGAAATAAATCTGAGAATTGGACAATCACTTAATTTCACCTACCTGACATGCATCTCTGGATCCTATTTCTCAACCACTTCAGCAGTGGCTCCATGGTACAACCGCATATCCAGGGATTGCCTCCAATTTGAAGAGTCACCAGGCCTGTGAGACCTTCTAAGGCTTCAAGGCTAAGGAAAGACAGAGCCCCATAGCTGAGATCAAGCGCACGTAGTTGGACCAAGCCTCGGAAAGCTTGGGGGTCTATCTTCTTCAGCCAAGGGTTGTGGCTTAAGTCAACATGTACCAGGCTGTAGGCTTCCTGAAACATATTAGCCACCACCTGAGTCAAGTTATTGTAGCTCAAGTCCAAGTGGGAAAGATGCTTAGATGTCAAAAAGAGTCCAACTGGTAGTTCAACAAGGGAGTTGTTCCGCAAATCCAATACTCTCAACTCCAAGTAGCAGGTAAGGTATCCAGGAGGGATGCTTGTGAGGTGGTTGTGAGCCAAGCTTAGGTTTCTGGTATCCAATGGAAGATCTGGTGGGACTGAAAACAGTCGTAGTCCACTGCAATCCACGGCCTGGCTGCGGCATGTGCACAGAACTGGGCAACCAGTGACAGCACTGGCAAAGACTACTACCACTGCTACAAGGAAAGGGCTTAATATCATGGCAGGAGAGCAATGGGGTACAAACTGCTCTCCTCCCAGCTGGACACAGTCTGCACTCATTTTGGCAAGGTGGAAGCTACATGGCAAAGAGAGGCCAATCAAGAAGGGGCAGCAATGGGTGGAGACACAATCCAGCCAATGGGAATCACTGACAAAAAACTGCTACATTATGGTTGGAGAAATGAGGAACATCGGAAATTTGTCAGATCTTGAGGCACTTATAGGACCATAAAAGAGTTATAACTAAGCGAGAAGCTGACAAGTTTTGGTAGCTTGTTTAGCTTCCTAAATAACTTTTTTTCTGTAGGAAGTTGAAGAGTGTAATCTACCTGCATACATGCATATGTAATTTCTATGGAGAAGTTAAAAGATTATAATAAAAAAAAATGTAAACAAAGCTGATAATTTTTATCCAAGATCTATTGATCGCTAGATTTCTGGATCTTGAGTTAAGATAAAATGTGCTCTTTTTTTAGTGTGTTTTATTTTGTTTTGGTGTGCTGGAGACATAATTTGCTGATGACTTGCAGAAGTTTCTCGTTGCACTAGAAAAATATAATCAGGTCACTGCTTTTTGCAGTCTCAGTAATTCTACCTGCAGTTCTACCAGACTGGAAGGAACTTCTCCTGGAATCATTCAGGTATTATTAAAATAAATGAAACAGCTGTCTTCCGCTGTTTCCTTTTCTGTTTCCCAGAAAGCTAATGTCTGCAGAAGGTCCTCTTGATAAACTGCTGCTAAACTGGATTAAACTTCCAAATGAGTCCCTCTTGGAAAGGTCAGGAGAAACTAAGGCTGGAGATGGGGAGCCTCTTAGCAGTCCAAATTTTTACTTGTTTGGGAAGATGGCTAGCCATTCTCTTTCACTTTAGGAGCAGATGCCGCCCTCCAGAACTAGAGCCACTGAAATAGGTACATGAATCCATGTTGTGCCTAACTTGAAAAACTAAGCCGGAAGCTGTATGCCAAGAATAATCATGATTTCAGGGTCCAAATAATAAGCGTCAGGAGAAGGAGTATAATGCTGTCCTTGAAGCTTCGTCTTCTTTCCCAGGCTAAACTTCTTCCAGGACAACCTGTCAATGAAATATAACAAAGATCAAAGTGGGGAGTGGGGATCATATACCCCTTGTGCATTCAACATAGCTCTCCTGTTGCCAACTGTTTTTATAGTAATGCACGCACCCCACTTTCTTTCCAAATCACTGCTGACGCCCCTACTCTTTGTCCTCTATTATAAACATCATTCTGGGAACCCCACACAATTTTCTCAATGTACAGTTGTTATTGTATTTACTGTAGCACTGGACCGAGATGTGTGGGAAGAAGAAAGAAGGCCGAGGCACTGCTTGTTTGGCCAAAGAGTGAATTTATCTTCAAGGAAGTAAATATATTCAGCTTTGGCTGAGAGGGAGGAAAAGCATTGTAGTTCAGCATGAAGCCATCTGAATTAGATTCCACGTCCATTACTTGCCCCACATCTGGAAGGCATTAGGTTGAAGAAAGCTGCCTTAAACTATTCAGTTATCCACCTCCCTCTTACTTTACAAGTCCATTATAAATGACCTGAGATGCCCTTTATGACTGTGGGAAGGCAGAAATCAACTTGTATCAATAAAAGATCAATCATTCCAAAAAGGTGAGAAATGGGAAGGAGTCTAGGTGAGAAGGTGTCTGGAAATAACACCAAATTTCACTAGAAAAGGGAGTACTAGCTCTAAAACAAACTATCTGGTAGTTAATCCCCCTTGAACATGGAGGATGTACTTAATGGCAAAGTTTATGGAGCTTTGCCTTCCAGGCCATGCTGGAAGATAAAAGGAAAGTGGAATCACTAGGCTGGCTGGAAGACTTCTGACTTGGGTTGTTCATCTGTGGCTTTGTTTAGTGTTTCCTTCCCAAACACACCACAAATCAGCATTTGATCAACCCGATTGAGGGATGGCATGTAAAAGCAAGTGAATGAGAGAGTGAATGGAAATTAATTATTGAAACTCTTTAAATACACAAATTTCTTTTATTCCTTTTCATACCTACTATTGTACAAGAACCCAAACCTTTTGAACTTGATCCCCAAGTGTGACCGCCCCTACTTTAAAATAGAAAATAAGGGAGCTCAGGTTAAACACCAAAATTTTTGTAACAGGTCCTGCATTCAACCTTGTGTCTGCATCTCTGCCAAAATAACCTCCAGTTACTTCCTGTAGTTCCGGGCCCAGATGAAGGGCACCGCCCATCCATAAGGTCTGCTGAGGCTTCTCCTTCAGCTATGAAGCAGTTTGGAGAGTTACTCCATACAAAAAGAAAATCTGGTTTCTATTTTTCCATTAAAGGACTGGTGGGTGGCGTGCTTCGGAATCCCTACATCTCATTCCATCCTTTGTGCACCCTTGGGGCAGGAGTTCTTGTATCGTATTTTCATTCTTCCTTTTTCTTTCCGATGCTATCTCCTTCCATGGTCATCTTTTCCTTGCGTAGACCCCAGTCCTCCTTTTCTCATTTATCTTTTGAAGATCAAGCAAGTCACATAATTTACCCAAAAACTCTGCTGAGCTGGCATCCCCACATGCTTTCTTGCAACTACCCTTTCTTTTCGTATCCTTGCCCTTACTCTCCTTCCTGGACCCTTGGGAGATGCACATCTCCTCATCTTCTAAGACACGCCTTGCTCACACCCTGTTCACATTTCTGAACCCAGAAATCTTACTTTCCTTAACCAAATGTCGTATGGCACCAAGCATGCATCCCCACTTTCCTTCTCCCCATCCCTTCAGTTTCATCTCACTAGCAAATATAATTACTTACTCTGAGCTGAAGATATTTTTTTAAAATGTTGCCTTAATCCATTAGAGATGCCTCTGCTTCCTGCCAGATTAGCCTTCTCATTCCATGGAGTCTTTCTTGCCTCCGTTCCTCTGTCCCTCTTGAAAATAAGGACACTGAGGAAATTTCAGTCTCTCCTTGAATTGCAGCCTCTGCTTGTGTGTGTGAGTGTGTGTGTGTGTGTGTGATTCCAACCAGGTCTTTCCCCACCTCCTTTCCCCTTCTTTCTTTCGCTCTCTCTTTCTTCCTTGAGGGCCAGGTACTGACGTTTCTCTGTCTCTTAGCAACTGCCTCCTCATCTCTGAGCAACAGGAGAGCGGAGGGGCTGCAGACCCCACTGAGCTGAGGCAGGGAGGCAGTGGCCAGGGAGGGGTGGAGAGCGAGGGGCGGGGGTGGGCAGGAGGCAATGGATGCATAAAAAAATGTGCCCACAAGATCCTAGAGACAAGAGAGGGAGGACACGCATTCTGAGATGGGGGAAGCAGAATCGGGCAGACAAGGGGGCGGCGGGAAAGCTGGGAGACAGACGTGGGCAGAAAAAGATCAGACAGGGACATGCCAGTGCATGCATGCACGCACAGAAGCACAGAAACGGGTGGGTGGGGAGGAACCAGGAATAAAGAGGAGATGCCAGGGAAGCAGTTTCTTCTTGCTAGCTCTCAAGAGGCAGTTGCTTGCATCTTCTCACAACAGAAGGGCTTGAGAAGAAATAGTCTTGCCTGGCACACAACTCTTGCCTTTGCCTGGAGTAGATATTTTGCCCCAACAGCTGCGTTAGCCGCCTTCTTAACCTTCCTATTCTCCTTCCCACCAACGGGGTTAACCACTTCCTCACTCTGGTGCTTTGGATTACCTGTAGTTATTGTTTACCACCACTCCCACCCTCTTACAGGGATCTATTTTCTCCTTTCTCTGTAGGGGAGCTTGGAACTTCCTAGAGATGGTTTCATGTATGTTTTATGGTTGCTATCTTGCTGTCATCTGATGGGTAGACAGCTGGCACAAGCCTTCCAAAGGAGAGCTTGGTGTTCCTCCCTTGGATGGCTGTTAATTGGTTTTTCTTTCAAGATCCCACTAGGTTGCAAAGGAGCTTCCTGTGTGAAATGGACTTCAGAAGGCAGATAGGATGCTGGCCAGCTGAACCTTAGAGAAGCACAGCAGTCAGTAAATGCCTTCTTTCAGATGCACAATTTTAAGCCTCACCAGGTGCCACTCCAAAGGAAATTTGCTAAATGTCATGGACAGAGTGTCCTTGCTGGCTCTCTGAAACTTGTGACTTGAAAATTATAGTCGGGGCTTGAGTTTATCCTGATTTACTTTTACCCTGAAGCTAGAGTTATAATTCTTTCTGCGCCATGGACCCTTCTGAGAGTCTGGTGAAATCTACTGACCTCTCCTCTGAAAAATGTCTTTAAATACATAAAATATCGGTTGTTTTTACAAAGGAAAGCAATTATGCTCACATACAGCTACCAAAATATTTAATTTAATAGTTTAAACAATCAGACGATTAAATTTAAATAATATGTACCACAGTAATATTCATGCTTCTCTATTCATCAATAACAAGACCATCTAAATCTCAGAGGTTAGGGAAATTAAGGCTATAATTTTTCCCCTCCTCCAAGGTCATGGACCGCCTGACGTCTAGCCATTGACCCCCAAATTAAAAATTCTTGCCTTTCAGGAAGATTTCAAAATTCATGATCTCTCATAGGTCTCTGAACCCATAGGAAACATGAAACTGGACATCTTACAGGGACAAAATTTGTTTTCAGCTAATCTCCTTTGCTGAAGAAAGATTCAGGTTGCATGAGTAATGTTTGCCTAGGGCTATGCGAACTTTTTTTTGGTTTTTAAATCTTATTTTGCACCAAAATAGCCTATGTTCTATGGAGGAAAATAAAAACTCTGAATATGCGGTGTAATGTTATTCAGGCAAGACGGATTATCTTGTGCAGCGAAAGAGCAAAACATGGAAATAGGAAGAAAAATAATGAGGATATTGTCCACGCCTTCAGGACCTCCGCAGTTTCGGTTCTTAAGTCCTCTTCCATTGAAGGATCCTGAGGCAGGATCTAAGTATGGGTATTTACAATATCCTTATTATGGTGTTTGAGAGCCAGTTACAAACATATTTACAGCTACAAACCGGGAGACCATGAGTTCTAATCCTGCCTTGGGCACAAAGTCAGCTGGGTGACCTTGGGCCAGCTACTGTCTCTCAGCTCAGGATGATAGGCAATCCAAAAATTTTACTTAGAGTGCTTAGAGTTGGTTATGTTAATTTTCTCCATTTGCAACTAATGAATAAATTTGGTTTTTTTATTAATACATTTATTTGCAACCACACTTTTTAGCAGAATTCATATAAAATTGCAACAATCCATATGTTCAATACATCCCTTCTAATATTAACAGCACTATCTGTCAGCATCTGCTTTCTTATCTTCCTTGCGGCCATTGCAAACAATGCAACTGGCTTTGTTACATGTTCATCTACATTAGTCAGCAGGAAATAAAAAAAATTTTTTTTCCTTCTATGCTAGACTGATTCAGATGGATTAACAAAAGCTTGATGAATGTAGGTCTAGGTTCCGGATATAATTTACAGTGTAGTAAGTAATGGATCAGATCTTCCTCATGTGAATTATTACAAATGCATAAACGCTGTGCAATTGTTAACCCTTTAAGATTTAAAGATTATTTAAATCTTCCATTTAAATAGGCTGCTGGCATTGTCTGAAAGTGAAGTTCTATGAAAGTGTGTATCAGGGAATGGGATGTAAGTAACTGTAAATAGATGATATTGCTTGTCCATCTTTGGAAGATCGATACCACTTGACTAATTTAAGGTTGCATACCTACTCTTTATCTTCATCTTGTTCAAAAATTTTAAAGAATAGTAAAGGTAAAGGTTTCCGTGTGTAATTGTGTCAAACTCTAGGGCACAGTGCTCATCTCTGTTTCTTGGCCAAGGGAGCCAGTATTATCTGAAGACGTTTTCCATGGTCATGTAGCCAGCATGGCATTGGATATACTCCAAAGGTGCATGGAATACTGTTACCTTCCCACCAAAGTACTACCTATTAATTTACTTGCATTTGCATGCATTTGAACCAGAGGTGAAATCCAATTTTTTTCCCTACTGTTCTGTGAGCGTGGCTTGTTGGGCATGGCAGGGGAAGGATATTGCAAAATCTCCATTCCCACTCCACTCCAGGGGAAGGTTGACTCAGCCTTCCATCCTTTCGAGGTAGGTAAAATGAGGACCCGGATTGTGGGGACAATAAGCTGACTTTGTATAAAAAGAACACCGCTTAGGGGGCCCCGAAAGCCCTACTAAGCAGGTATATACAAAAAGTATGAAGGCTATTGCTTAACGCATTGTAAGCCGCCCTGAGTCCCCGGAGAAGGGCGGCATATAAATCGAAACAATAAATAAATAAATAAATAAATAAATAAATAAATAAATAAATAAATAAATAAATATACTGCAAAATCTCTATTCCCTCCCCTCCTAGGGGAAGGATATTGCAAAATCTCCATTCCCAACCCACTCTGGGGCCAGCCAGAGATGGTATTTGCCGGTTCTCCGAACTAGTCAAAATTTCCACTACCGGTTCTCCAGAACCTGTCAGAACCTGCTGGATTTCACCCCTGATTTGAACTGCTAGGTGGGCAGAAGCTGGGGCAGGTAATGGGAGCTCACCCTGTTGTGCGCTGCTCGGGTCTTGAAACTGGGCTGTCAGCTTTCCAGCTGACAAGCTCAACAGCTTTAACTGGTGAGCCACTGCACCCCTGGGGACCATCAATAATGAATGATAATCTACATTGTTCAATAATTCTTGCTCTAGTGAAAATTGTGAGAAAGGTTTAAAGAGATATTCACCCATCCATTTCTGTTAAGTTGTTCATGGAGGCATTGTTTTGCCAAAAAAAGTGTTGGGCAAGAGGATTAGCCTTCTATAATATTAGACTATTGCTTTCTTTATTTAAATTAATTAATGAAAGGGCCACTTCTAATCTCAATATTGCTGCTGGTACACATAAGAGTAAGGTTAAGATTGATCTCCTGGATTTATTTTGGACCACCTCTAATTCTTTTAGTTTAGAAACCCCATATTGAGGCTTCATATGTCAACTGTGAGATTGTTTTCTCCTAGAAAATTGTGAGTCCAGACTGTACTAGCCAGCCTTCTTTTGAACAGAAGAAGGAGCAAATGGCTCTGATTAACCTCATAGCCATTGTTAGTATTTCAGTAAAATGGATATCCAAATACTTGAATGACCTCGCTTGTTCTATCTCCTTATCATCTAAGGTCCATTGATACAGTATATCTTGATCTCTTAGCAAATACTAGTTGGTTTTGGAATAATCTGTCTGTAAGTATTATAAACACTGTCAGAATCCTTCTTATTCCAATTATTGTTGACATCAGTACCATATCATCTCTGTATATTGGGACTTTCTACTTCTAATTGATAAAGCATAAAAAGAAGGATTATTAAGCTCTTCTACAGTGTTGTTTATATAAAACTTAAAAGAGGGAGAGAGCCAGTGTGAAGCCCTGTTAGGCACATTTTGTGATTTTAAACTGTTTTGTTAAGGAGCCATTGAGATTTATCTGTACTTGTATGTAAGTGTCATCATATAATTTGTATACTATATTAGGTAACCTACTTGAACATTGGGTAATTTTATATTAGCTAATCTATCTATATCAATAATTAAAACTTCTCCCATAATTTTCCTCTATTTATTTATCATAGGCAGAAAATATATCAATAAATGCATAAAGTCATTTTGAGGGACCATTAATGATTTGTGAATCAGATGTTCTAAACTGAAACACTGATCTATAGTACACACGTCCCTTTCTGAAGCCTGCCTGTCCTTCTGCTATTGTCTACCTACCTATCGCTCCAATCAATAAATCTGTTTAAAAGATACCTTGTATATAACTTTCACTCTGTGTCAATAAGTCTTATGGGGTGAAGGTTAGCAAGGTTGTGGAATCTCCCTTTTTAAATATTGAAATTGCTACACTATTTTTCCAGTCTACAAGGATTTGCTCCCATGGCATCGATATAAGTAAACAAGGACATGAGCGTAGGAGCCCATCAATCATGGAATGTCTTAAAAAATTCTGGCAGTAACATATCTTCTCCCTGGGCTTTGCCAGCTGCCTGTTGTGAAATTATTCTTTTAATTTCTGCAGCAGTGATTGAGGGTTATTTTAATTATGTTTTTAATATATCTGTACCCATTAACTGCTGACTTGATATTCTAATATCCTCAAATTTATTTTTGAAATAAATTATCCAAAATTTAGATGAAATCTTCTCTTATTATTTTATTATTACTCTCTGGCCTTGGGAAACTAGTTCCCAGAATTTTGCATCAGTATTTTGTAAACATAACAGTCTTCGGTCTTGTTTCTTTCTCCTTATCAATGCTTTGATATTTTCAGTATTTATCTCTCGCTACATCTATTCTGCCAAATGATTTATCCTTTATAATTTGTTTCACTTATCTAATCAGTTCTTA